AAATCCAAGCCCTGCAGCAGCCGCCGCTCGCTCCAATCCCAAACGTTGAGAAAACGCCCGTAACGCCCTGAAAAAAACCCCAAAACATTCCCAAAAAACCCTGGAATATCCCAAGGTTTGGGCTGAAAATCAGGATCGATATAAAAAAATTAAAAAACGGGTTTTTAAAGGGGTTTAAAGAGGGAAAATGGGATTTTTATACCGGTTTTGGGGTTGAAATTTGGATTTTTTTCCGGGTTTTTTGGCGGGGTTTTGATGGGGAGTTTGGGGGTTTTGGTTGGAAAATTGGGGTTTTAATAAAAATTGGAGTTTTTCAGTCGGAAATGGAAGTTTTTAGGAATTGATTTGGGGTTTTTAGTTTGTGAAGTGGAATTATTAAGGAATTTCCACTCTTAAAAATGGGATTTTTTTTTTTGGAATTTCTTTACTTAAAAATTGAATTTTTTAGGAATTTCTGCTCTTAAAAAATCCAATTTTTCTTGGAATTTCCACTCTCAAAAATCCAATTTTTTTTTGGAATTTCTTTTCTTAAACATTGAATTTTTGAGGAATTTCTGCTCTTAAAAAATCCAATTATTTTGGAATTTCCACTCTCAAAAATCGAATTATTTTTTGGAATTTCCACTCTCAAAAATCCAATTTTTTTTGGAATTTCTTTTCTTAAAAATTGAATTTTTTAGGAATTTCTGCTCTTAAAAATGGAATTTTTTTGGAATTTCCTTTCTTAAAAATTGAATTTTTTAGGAATTTCTGCTCTTAAAAAATCCAATTTTTTTGGAATTTCCACTCTCAAAAATCCAATTTTTTCCCGGAATTTCCTCTCTTAAAAAATCCATTTTTTTTTGGAATTTCTACTGGAAAAACCCGATTTTTTCACTTATTTCTGCCTGAAAAAACCGGATTTTTCCAGGATTTTTTTCCCAAACCAAGGGAATTTGCAGGGAATTTTTTCTCCTGACCTTCCTGCACGTCCTTGGGGTCGAATCCTCGCTCCAGGATTTTGGGAATTCCCCACTCGGTGCTGATGAGGACGTTGTGCCGGGGCTGGTACCAGAAATCGTAACCAAAATTGGGATTTTTCCCTCCTTTTTCCCAATTTCCTTTCACTTCGAAGGTTTTTCCATCCAGGAGGATGAAAGTGCCTGGAAAAAAATTCCCACAAACAAAAAAAGAGTTTTGGAGAGGTTTCTAGAGGTTTAAATAAAAGAAATTGTTTATTTATTTTGATATATTTTAATTTATTTTTATCTAATTTAATTTATTTTTATCTATTTTATTTTTATTTATTTTTATTTATTTTTATCTATTTTATTTTTATTTATTTATTTTATTTTTATCTATTTTCTTTTTATTTATTTATTTTATTTTTATCTATTTTCTTTTTATTTATTTTAATTTATTTTTATCTATTTTATTTTTATTTATTTATTCTATTTTCTTTTTATTTATTTTAATTTATTTTTATCTATTTTATTTTTATTTATTTATTTTATTTTTATCTATTTTCTTTTTATCAATTTTCTTTTTATTTATTTTAATTTATTTTTATCTATTTTATTTTTATCTATTTTATTTTTACCTATTTTATTTTTATTTATTTTTATTTATTTTTATCTATTTTATTCTTATCTATTTTATTTTTATCTATTTTATTGTTATTTATTTTAATTTATTTTTATCTATTTTAATTTTATTTATTTTAATTTATTTTTATCTATTTTAATTTATTTTTATCAATTTTCTTTTTATTTATTTTAATTTATTTTTATCTAATTTAATTTATTTTTATCTATTTTCTTTTTATTTATTTATTTTATTTTTATCTATTTTCTTTTTATCTATTTTCTTTTTATTTATTTGAATTTATCTATTTTAATTTATTTTTATCTATTTTCTTTTTATTTATTTTTATTTATTTTTATCTATTTCAATTTATTTTTATCTATTTTAGTTTTGTCTATAGTATAGTAAGAGTTTATATACAAATATATAAAAATATAGAATACATCTATAAATACATAATATATAAATATATAATAATGCTTTATTTTAATGTTATTAATTTTATTCTATTTTATATTAAATTCAATATAAAATTTATGTTATATACTATAATTATATTATGTTATTTTATAATTTTAACATTATATATTATATTGTGTTATATTATACAATTTATATTATACTACACTGTGTTATATTATATTATATTAATAATTATACTATATTAATTATAATATATATTAATAATATATAATATATATAATATATATAAAAATATGTATTGTATTGTATATATTATACATTAATAATGTATATTAATTATATAATTATATTATATTAATAATTATATTACATTATATTATATTACATTATATTATATTATATTATATTATATTATATTATATTATAGTAATAATCATACTATATTAATTATAATATATATTAATTATATATAATATATTAATAATACATATTAATAATATATAATATAATTATTAATATAATTATTAATATAATTATTATATTGTATTATATTATATTGTATTATATTATATTATATTATATTATACTAATAATTATACTATATTAATTATAATATGTATTAATTATATACAACATATTACATACATAAAAATATATATTATATATTATATATTATATATATGAATAGTATATATTATTTATATGATTATATAATATTAATAATTATACTATGCTGTTATGTTATGTTATATTATATTATATTATTTGCATATACTATAAATACATTATATTATTTTATAATTTAAATATTATTAATGTCATTATATCAATAATGTAATTAATACTAATAACAAATCCTGGAATTATTTCCCTTGAAAAACCAATTAAAAAAAACCTCCTGGAACGTGCTAAAAAACCCAGGAAAATCCCAATTTTTTTCTGAAGGATTTCTCAGCCTGGGGATGGGAAAATAAAATCCCAGGGGGGATTTTTGGGGTGGAATTTTGGGAATTTTTGGGAATTCCGAACCTTTTCCGTTTCCCTGGGGATCCCCCAGGCAGCTGATGAGGATTTCTCCCGAGGGAAGGCAGTGGGAAGTGTGTGGGAAAGCAGCTCCACCTTTCCGGGATAATTCCTCACTTTCCACCACCTGGAATTGGCCAAAAAGCAGGAAAAATTCAGGGGGGAAAATCAAAATAATCAGGAAAAAAAATTGGGGTAGAAGGATGGGAAAAGGGGGGAAAAAAGGGAATTAAATCAGGGAAAAATTGGGATAAAAGGATGGAAAAAGGGGGAAAAAAGGGAATAAAATCAGGGGAAATTTGGGATAAAATGATGGAAAAAGGGGGGAAAAAAGGGAATAAATCAGGGAAAAATTGGGATAAAAGAGTGGAAAAGGCAGGGAAAAATCAGGGAAAAATTGGGATAAAAGGATGGAAAAAGGGGGAAAAAAGGGAATTAAATCAGGGGAAATTTGGGATAAAATGATGGAAAAAGGGGGAAAAAAGGGAATAAATCAGGGAAAAATTGGGATAAAAGGATGGAAAAGGGGGGAAAAAAGTGAATTAAATCAGGGGAAATTTGGGATAAAAGAGTGGAAAAGGGGGGAAAAAAGGGAATAAAATCAGGGAAAAATTGGGATAAAAGGATGGAAAAGGGGGGGAAAAAAGGGAATAAAATCAGGGGAAATTTGGGATAAAATGATGGAAAAAGGGGGGAAAAAAGGGAATAAATCAGGGAAAAATTGGGATAAAAGGATGGAAAAAGGGGGAAAAAAGGGAATAAAATCAGGGGGAAAAATCAAAATAATCAGGAAAAAAAATTGGGGTGAAAGGATGGAAAAAGGGGGAAAAAGGGAATTAAATCAGGGAAAAATTGGGATAAAAGAGTGGAAAAGGGGGGAAGAAAGGGAATAAAATCGGGGGAAATAAGAAAAATAATCAGGAAAAAAATTGGGATAAAAGGATGGAAAAGGGGGGAAAAAAGGGAATTAAATCAGGGGGAAATTTGGGATAAAAGAGTGGAAAAGGCAGGGAAAAATCAGGGAAAAATTGGGATAAAAGGATGGAAAAAGGGGGAAAAAAGGGAATTAAATCAGGGGGAAATTTCGGGATAATTCCTCACTTTCCACCACCTGGAATTGGCCAAAAAGCAGGAAAAATTCAGGGGGGAAAATAAAAATAAACAGGAAAAAAAATTGGGGAATTGGCCAAAAAGCAGGAAAAATTCAGGGGGGAAAATAAAAATAAACAGGAAAAAAAATTGGGGTGAAAGGATGGAAAAAGGGGGAAAAATAAGCGGGAAAAAGGGAAAAATAAATGGGGAAAGGAAAAAATCAGGGAAAAATAAGTGGGAAAAAGGGAAAAAGTCAGGGAAAAATCAGGGAAAAATAAGTGGGAAAAAGGGAAAAAATCAGGGAAAAATAAGGGAAAAATAAGTGGGAAAAAGAAAAGAAATCAGGAAAAAATCAGGGAAAAAAAGGGAAAAATAAATGGGAAAAAGGGGAAAAAATCAGGAAAAAATCAGGGAAAAATAAATGGGAAAATCAGGAAAAAATCAGGAAAAAATCAGGAAAAAGCTGGGAGGGGTGGAATAAAATAATGAAAAAAAGGGAAAAATAAATGGGAAAAAGGGAAAAAATCAGGAAAAAATCAGGGAAAAATAAATGGGAAAAAAGGGAAAAAATCAGGGAAAAAAAGGGAAAAATAAGTGGGAAAAAGGGGAAAAAATCAGGAAAAAATCAGGGAAAAATAAGTGGGAAAAAGGAAAAAATCAGGGAAAAATCAGGGAACAACCGGGGAGGGGGGGGAATAAAATAATGAAAAGAAGGGAAAAATAAATGGGAAAAAGGGGAAAAAATCAGGAAAAAATCAGGGAAAAAAAGGGAAAAATAAGTGGGAAAAAGGGGAAAAAATCAGGAAAAAATCAGGGAAAAATAAATGGGAAAAAGGCAAAAAAATCAGGAAAAAATCAGGAAAAAACGGGGAGGGGTGGAATAAAACAATGAAAAAAAGGGAAAAATAAATGGGAAAAAGGGAAAAAAGTCAGGAAAAAGTCATGAAAAAAACAGGGACAGGGGGGAATAAAATAATGAAAAAAAGGGAAAAA